TCCAATCTAAAAATTATGTGTATATAGACAGACTGTATTTATATAAGAAATTATTGTTTTCTTTGAGATATTATAGAATTTTTTGTTTGAAACATTGTTGCTTTTAGTTAACACATTAATAACAATGTTTTTTTAACAGATGTAACACATTTAGCTAACTCTTCTTTTTTTATTTCTAACTTTGGACCTGACTCTTGTCATGTCGCCATGAGCAGGCCTTTGCTACCAAGTTTAATTTGCTTTTAACTGACTTTTTGCTTTGATCGCTTTGAAATCTCATTGTTCTCTGCGAATGAATTCACAAATGCATAACTAAAAGGAAATTGGAACAAAAGATCATTGTTTTTGAGAGATTGTGAAATCCCAGGCATTTGTTTATGGCAAAATAAGTCTGATTATATTTTTAAAAAATGTTCGCACAAAGTCAGTATCTCAGAGTTACAGCACAGAAGGCCCTCACTCTGTCACTCTGTGCCCTCATTCTCTTCTGTTTATTTGTCCTTGGGGTGTGTTCACTCCGTCTCCATCTCTCTCTCTCTGCCCTGTCCACCTGGTGTCAATCTGGCGGCTGTATAATTGGTTGTTTTTTGGTTGGGTGGCCTGTCCTCAGTGGCGTTGATTCATGGCGTTTGTAAAGGTGACAGTAGCGCCTGTCCTTACCAGACAAAGTAGAGCCATCACTAGCTGGACCTGAGCTGACCTGCTGGTTTGTGCAGACGCACACAGACACACACGCACACACACACACACATACATAGGTAGCACATCCAGGTTTGCTCGAGGTGGCACAGAGGAGGAAAGAGAAGCCGGGAAGGTCATCATGTAACAACTCAACCAGAAAAGATCCAGAAAAAACTTATGACAAAAAAAAAACATCCGTTTGGTGTACTCATTTTACTTCTGATGATTCATGTTCAAGTAGAAATGAAGCTTTTGCATTTGTCTTAAGTGTAATAAAATTATGTTTCCACAAGGTTCAAAATACCCCCCATTATAAAATGCAATATTAAGATGAACACACCTACAAAAACATTGTCAAACACACACTAAACGCCCTGTTATGCAGCCAGTCCCTGGTGACCTGAATACACCCAGAACTGACACTTTATCTACTTAGCTGTGTCACCTTCAAAAGCCTCTGACATACACGCTCATCTTTAAAAAAAAAAGAAAAAGAAAATAAAAAATCTCCCCACAATGGCCAGTCATATGTGTGTCTGGCTTTGGGTCTCCATCATGCTCTGCCTTCATATCTATAATTGAGGGGAATCAGCTGGTAAAAGGATTGTAAAGGCCTTTGTGCAGAATTGATCATAAGCTCAGACTTTTTCATGGTCCTGCCATTGACCTCGTAATTGATTTGGATTGCACCCCCCCCCCCCCCCCCCTCTTTTCTGTTATAGTTGATACAGTTTAATTGACTTTGCTTGCTGTGGTGTCTATTCAGGTTGACGCCTTTGTCTCTGTGTACATAATCGGGTGTGCGCTTCTCTACTCCTATACTCACGAGAACAAGTTGTCATTTGCCGAGGTTAAGTTGCGAACTAGTTTAGGGACTGCATCGTAAAGACGCCCCCTAACAGGCAGTCAGATGGGCGCTCTTCTGATTACACCAACACGTGCGAGCGCGCTTACATTCGCAGCAGCTTTGACCTGTGTTACATTGGGTGTAATTGATTGTGTGAGCGCCGGTGTCTCGGTGTTAAGGTTAATTTCTCTAACTGCTGGTAAGTGCTGTCTGACCGTTCCCCCGGCGGCCTCTCCGAGCTGAAGTATTGCCACTTAGAGGCCCCAGGCCCCCAGCACCGGCCAGCCCATTGATCCACTGATCAATAGTTGCATCTGTACTATAGTCTCAGCGAGGATGCTCCCGCGCTGACCCGATGCTAACACACCGGGCAGCTCTGAGGCACACACACCCCAAGCGCTTGTCAAACCGCGGTCCAGAGATCACTTAAGGGTCCTTAAAGGAGTCCCCGGTAAAATAAGGTTTAGTTTAATTGCAGGAACATTTGAAGCTGTCGAATTAGGAAATGCATTCACTCCCAGGACCTGATAGGGAAAAGACAGCCGTGTTTCTCTGATATTGCTTCCTCATAAACGGCCTACATTTTTCTAATGCTGCTTAGCAGACAATAACATTAACAATAGTAAATAGCAATCGGACCTTAAGCATTCTTGTGGATCAGCAGTGTTGATAAACCAGATTGCATCAGCCTCATATTCATTCGTAGAAGAAAAAAGAGAAATAAGAAAAGAGTTTTCGGAAGGAGCATCGGGTCATGATGACAACTGATTAGGTAAAAACAACCTCAGACTTAAAATACTTAGAAAAGTCTCGGTTACATCTCAGACTCTACAGTCCGGAGCATGATAAATGTTACAGGTTGTGACAGTACAATTAGGAGATAAGTGAACAATGTGGCTCGTTTGGAGGCCTATTCTGATGAAAGCCTCATCTCTCGGAAACGAGAGAGGCAGCGCCGCTCAGGATCTGAACGAGCCACCGGGGCTCTGGAACAGGACCTGGGCACCTTGCAGTTGTTGTGACGGTGTGTTGTAATGGCTCAGACCTCAGACTGATTGAAATGCAGTGGTGGAGAACTGTGCATCAACAAATGCCCACACATCTCAACGAACTGTAACAATGCCGTCCTGGAGGGAGGGTCCCCCATTCCTCAGCAACTCTGAGAAACACTGACATTGTCAGAGAATGATTACTTCAGGCTATAAAAGCCATACTTGGTTTTTATGCGGTGTTGAACCCCGAAAAGAGACCCACTCTGTCCTGTTTTTGTGTGTGTTTTTTTTTACCAAAACAGGAGTCTATAGCTTGATAGGAAACAGATTCCTTCTGTGGAGATGGCCAACAAATGGATTAACCATCACGGTTTCAGTTCCACAGCAAAATCATTCCTCCGACCGTCTCTCCCATCATTTGCAAGTTGAAGTGCCTCCTTTTTCCTCCTCCTGTTTCATTCCTCCCAGGCAACCTCCATCTTGTTTCAGATCACAGCCAATAAAGCAGCCTGCCTCTCCGCGTCTCTCTCCCGCTCTCTCTCTCCCCTACTTCCTGCTAAAGGAGTCAGTCAGTCAGAGCACTCAGAAACACATATTAAACAGGCATCAGCCTCTCGCCGGGACCAAATCACGCTGTTCAAATGTTGTTCTTCCACCGGGAGCGCAGGACAACTGAAGAAGATGGGATCTGCAACATTAACTTGATTCACGGCCGCGGCGACTGAGTGACACTCCATAAACCTCAGCGGGCCGCCGCCGGGCCCCGCCGACAGCACCCCACGGCTAATGTGACACACACCGGCAACGCATGGCCGTGCCACCCCCACAGCAGCACGCCGCACAAGCTCTCAAGCTCCTACATAGTCAGCCACACAGAGAGAGAGAGAGAGACGCAAACACACAGCAATAAACGGCCCCGACGCGCAGAAATACCGAAAGATAACACACGTGCATTAACCCGTCAGCCCGAACACACACACACACACACACACACACAGCGGGGACGTTAACACACACAAACAGACGCGGTCTCGGAATCGCACGCTCCCGAACAGGTTTTATGGTAATGCGGCGGAAAGTGCACAGCCTCTGAGTTATTGTCTTCTCCAGACAGCCTCTCAGCTCTGTAGGCAGTTAACACCGGCCCCTGTAGCTGTGTGTAAAGAGGTAACCTCCGCCGCTCAAAATGCCAACCTCCTCTGGCACTCCGCGGCTCTCCCTCCACGCACCCGCCGCGCCGCCTGTCATTCGGGGTCCAAACAGTGGAGTCTGAACTGATATTTAGCGCACAGCGATGCCCGCGTACGGTAGCATTCCGATGCTTTTTATTCTTTCTTTATTTATATATTTTCCCTTCAGAAGCAGGGGCTCGTTGTCGTCTTACGCCGGAATAAACGAGGACACAGAGGGATTCTGTGCTGTGGGAGCAAAGAGACGCAGGCGGAAAAACAAAAAAAAAAGCTGGAGAGGAGAGACAGGCCAGGTGTCAAGATGGTGACTGACAGGCGATGGCCCTGGACACAGACCACACACCTGACTGGACACACACACGCCAGGGAAAAGAGCTTCTGACCGATGTGCGTCCGACTCCACGAGGCCGCCTCCGGCTCTCCCCGTGGGAGGCGGTCATACGTGTAGGCATAGTCAGATGATGGTGCAGTATTAATATGGACTCGGGCATTACTGCTTTGCAAGGCGGCGTGGAAATTGGAACACTGGGAGAACATGCGGCGCACCTTGGCCCAGTTGAGTCTAGTTGCACAATGATTTTATTACTCCCGGTGTCAGTATGGCTGTAGAAAATTAGACTGCAATGCAAGATATCCGGCGTATTTATAGTGTTCCCTTTGTAACGCGGTGAAATTTGTGTTATTAGAGGGTTACATCATTTGCTCCCCTGCTCACCCATCAGGTCTGCCTCTGGTTCTCTGAACAGAGCGCCCACTGACCGCTACGTGCTGCAGGAAAGACAGTGACCGCTCACGAGCACTTCACTCAACCCCGCTTCAAAAAACTAGGGGGATATAAAAAAAAAAGGAAATTCCCTTTGAAGTATACAACACGGCCATCCTGTCTGTCTGAATACGAATGCCCTCTGTGGATTTCCCCGTCTCCTTGACTCCCCCACGTCCTAACTTTGATTTATTTTTTCTTCATCAATCAAAGGTTGCCTCCCCCCTTCCCATTCTAAAATAAACCCAGCACGGAGGATGTGGACAGGTGAAGGTGTGTTGATGTCAGTGACATAATTCACTTCACCTCTCTCTGTTTAAAAGCCACGGTGTGAACATGAGTTTTATATTTGAGAGCCCGGGAGTTTTTACTGAAAACCTTTAATCCAATCGGCAAAGCGTGAGTGGATGCTTGTGTCGGTTCTCTCTCTCTCTCTCTTTCCTCCGGTGCCCGTGGAGTTAAAGCTCCCTCCACCCTCAGCGCCCGTGGACTCGGGGGGGGGGGGGGGGGGGGGGGGGGGGGGGGGGATGGAGCTGGGTCAGACTCTGACTTTCTGATCACATTGTCAGCCTTGTGAGTGCAGGACATTAAATGTCAAGGGGAAGATAGGTGTATCAATGATTGATGAGTTTGTTCCTGCTTGTGCTGTGTGATTCCATCTCCTCCCCTGGGGTAGGTACCACGTACCCTCCAAAATGTTGACTTTTGAAGAACAGCAAAAAAAAAAAAAAAAGGTATTTTGTTCGAGGATTGGAGAGATTTTGAAGGGGTTTTTGTTTGTTGAATGTCTGGCTTCAAATTCAGGCGCTGGATCCACTTTAGATGCCAGTAATGTGTGTGTTTAGGCTACGAACTCTTAACTTCAGCTCGCATCAGCTCAGGCTGGAACAGCAACCCCTTCTCCACCGTCTCAAATTCCCATTTTCCTTCGCGGATTAGCCTACAAGTGTCTGAGCCAGTAGCTGTTTAAACAATGGCATTTCTAACACTGTTCCTGTCACCTTGGAAACGCCATGGCAACCTGTGATCTGAGAGGGCACAGTGTGGCTCAATTAGCACCAGCTGTATCCCCCCCCCGCTCTCTTCTGCTGCCAGCGTATCTCCATTTTCTATCTGCTTTCATGCATTAAGTGACACAAATATGCGAAGCGTTCCGTTTCTTTTCATGTCAGTTTTGCCTCCCGTGTTTTTTTTTCTTTTTTTTTTTTTTTTTCCCCTCTCAACGCTGCGCGCACATAGCACCTTGTTATGAGAAACATTAAGTGATAGATTATGAAGAACACATCCGTTCGCTTACCAGGGAATAGCTCCCCATTCGTGAGGTAATTGTGGATGTGGTCCCGTTCGGCTAAATAAGTTCCCCTATTTATCTGACGAATGGCTTCCAGCAGGCTCCTTCTGTCTCTCCTTTGAGCTCCTCTGTTGTTGCTCTCTGCCACGACAACAAGTTGGCAGCCACAGTCTCTCTGAGCCACTTTTTCCTTCTCTCTTTTAGATTGTAGTCTGCATTGTGGTATCTTGGGAAATGAGAAAAAACTCTAAAAGTGCGATATGATCGTGTCACTGTGTTTTCCAGGTATCGTCTCCAAGTCCTTCGAGTGTCGTCTGAAGGGCCAGGGGGCCACGTTTGTGGAGGCGGAGGCGGAGTCCCCCACGCACAGGAAGGCCTCGTCCGAGGCGTCCGGCCAGGACGAGCCCGTCCAGCAGGTCATCATCATCCAGGGCTACGGCGACGGGGAGGTGGCCATCGACCAGGCCCTGGAGGAGTCGGCCGCCGCCACCCTGCAGACGCTGGCCATGGCCGGCCAGGTGGCCGAGGTGCTCCACATCACGGAGGACGGGCAGGTCATCGCCTCGGGCCGGGAGGTGGCGGCGGCGGGCGCCCACCTGGCCGGAGGCGGCACGCAGTACGTGGTGCTGGAGTCCGGCGACGCCAGGAAGGAGCTGCAGGCGGCGGCCAGGAGAGGGGCGGTGACCGGCGGGCAGGGCCACGCCGTGTCCGAGTCCTCCACCGCCCTGGACGCCCTGCTCAGCGCCGTCAGCGAAATGGGCCACCAGGAGATCCAGGGCGAGGCGGCCATCGTCCACGAGGTCCTGACCCCCGAGGCCTCGGAGGCGGAGAGCTCCATGGCGGCGGCGGCGGCGGTGGACGGGGAGGGGGAGGTGAAGCAGGAGCAGGAGGAGGTCCACATCATCCAGGAGGCCGGCCACGACGGCATGCAGGAGGTGCTGCAGCTGGCCGCCTCGCAGATGATGAAGGAGGGCCTGACCCAGGTCATCGTCAACGACGAGGGCACCCACTACCTGGTGACGGAGCTGGAGGACGGCTCGCTGCAGGTGGAGGGGGGCGTGTACGGGGGGGAGGGGGCGGGGGAAGGGGAGGGGCAGCAGGTGGAGCAGCACGCCGGCGAGGAGATGGTGGTCTACCTGGACGGAGCTTCTCACAACATCGTGCTGGAGGGCTGAGCGGGAGGGAGCCATTTTGTCTCCTGAATCAGCCCAGACGTTAGCCCCCTTCATTCCTTTAGCCTGTCTCACTGTGCGTGTACATCGCTCAGCAAAAACTCAGGTCAACCATCATTTCTTTAAAGGAGCAGTGAGGTTCGGTGCTGTAAGGAGCAAAGCACACAGCCACAGAGTCTGATAGCAGCCATCTTTTTGCCAATCAACTCAAAAATCAGTATGCACAGTTTTCTCCTGAAATACGTACTAGAAATTAATCGTACAAATTGTTTAGAGTTTCATGGCTCCCGTTGTTTTTGGTTTTTTTGTGCTCTTTTAAACGTTTCCTGTCTTTTGTTAAGAGTAGTTATCTTCCTACAGAAAAGCAGCGAGTTCATCTTTGTTTGTGCTTGTTTTTCCTTCATTCCAGCCTTTGTAGCGCGTTATGAATTACAAACCAGTTATCTGATGGATTTTGAACAATTCTGGTTGTGAACAATAGAAGTTTTTATGTGCATCAAAATAGCGAAGACGATTATATATTTTTGGGGTTTTTTCTTTCTTTTTTTTGTCAATCCTTCAGCTTTTTCGGGGGGGGGAAAAGCTCTAAATATGAACACGGATTCTGAAAATAAAGATTGAGTCATTTTTACCAGCTGCGCCTGCGTTTGTTTTCCTTCGTAGGCGCTTCTGGATGTTTTGTCAAGCACACATCTCGGCATCGATATCCAGATTAGATGCACATCGCAAGCAACATGGGCATGCATGCATCAACTGATGGCTCCCATCATGCTTTCTGATCACTAACACAGTCATTATCACCGCCATTATCATTATCGTCGTCATGATCACCATCAACCTAATCGTCATCTTTTCATCTCTTCCCCCCATCAGGCCCATTCTCTTCAATGTCTACAACACACTCATCCCTTTTTTTCCCCAGCAGTAGTCAGCACTGGAGGGAGAATCAATATTCATTTAGGCCTCTACACAGGCCTGCTTTCTGATGGAGTGAGTGGGAGAGCAGTATGACGGCTGCAAACACAATGGCCATCCGCCGAAAGTACAGAGAGAAAACACTCATACGCGGCGAGGGCATCAAAAGATCATCCCTTTAGCGCACACACACACACAAACACACACAGCGCACGCCATGCGAGAAGGTGGGCTGAGAGAGAAAGTGGTAGAGGAGTGGGCAGGAGAGACGGGAGCATTACAGATGGATGTTGAGAGTGGAGAGGCTGGGAAAAGAGTGAAAGAGCAGTAAAAATCCACAGCCGCACAGGAGAGACGGGAGCCTGTAATTTCATACAGCGCCCGTCTGCCTCTCCGCTCAACTTTGCCTCCGCTCCCGGCCTCGTGTCGCATTCGTAAAACGTGCGCTTTTTCTCCTCCATCCCCGCAAAAAGGCAGGACGCTTACCAGAGGTCACGCCATCTGTGTGAGCGTCTGGGAGTCTGCCGGCACCCACCGGTGGTAAGAAAGCAACAAATAAATACGTTGAGTTTAAATATAGACACCAAAGAATCAGAATATGAAACAGATCTGGAGAATTTTGGCTTTTGTTGATAGACTCGATCCATCTAGTGGCTGAAGTCAAGGGATAACGTTCCTGCTCTATTGATTTGAAGTTTTACATATGAGGAACTGTGTTCTTTTGATGCTGTTTCAGGAAGTAGCAGCCAGTGAAACACACCTGATGAATCCACCCTCATCATCTGCAAGCAGATGTATAAAAGCAGATGTTTTCAGGAGTTTGCTGCCCTGAGGATTCCAGGTGTGCGTGCACAACACCATGGAGGAAAGACATCAGCCAGGAGCCTTTTGATCTGAGGAGGGTTATGGCGTATAATCATCTCCAAGTGGAAAAAAAAGTGTCTGTCTGACTGGTGGACGTCCATGACAGCCATCTTTAGCACAAAGTCTCATTTCCTGCTGCCAAAGGCTGTCCTACAATCCACAGCCGAGGTCAGAGGCATTACACAAAGGGCTGCTACAGGCCTCAGCAACAAACCTACTCCACAGTCAAATGTGAGCTTAAACCTACCGGATACCGGGTCATCCAAGAGTCAAGCTCCAGAATTGATGCAACAGGAACTTCAGAGAGCTGTGTCCTAATGACACACACTGCTCCTGGAGAGGTTCTAATTGCCCCTACGCAACGCTGACAGGCGGGCTTGATTCAAAGCAACAGGTGCTCCGTGCTGACCACAGAATGGACTTAATTAGTTAAACAAAGAAATCCTGAAACATGAGATATCTTCTTTTTGAATTTCACTCGAAACGTACGTGTGGTAAAGCTTGTGAGTGACCCCAGTAGCGTTGCAAAACCTGCCTTCCTCAACCTCCACAGTTCAATGTGGGTTTTTTTTTCCTTCCGCTGAAAAGGAATGTCTGTTTAGTCTGTTAAGTCATGCTAGTCCATTATTCCACATTTCTGTTTGAGTGACTGTGTGGCGCATTGTGTGCCTCCCCACCCTCCCCGCGCATCTCTGTAATCAGGGCTGGATGGTGCATCATTAACTGCAGCAGGCCACTCCTGTGACATGCAAGAGAGAGAAATTAGCAGCTGTCATCCAGTGATGAGTTCATTTCCTGACAGGCCCCCGCTCTGAAGAGTCCTGCTGCAGACGGCCAGACGGCTGATGGAAACCTGCCGCCGAGGCTTAATTGGAGAGCCGGAAAAAGGGCCGCGAGGGGGAGGAGGGGATAAGGCAAGATGGAGAGATCAGTGTAAAGAAGTGGAAGCAAAGCATGATATGCAATGTTAGGAATGTGGCACGCACAGTACATCGGGCTACTTTGCATTAGGGAGGAAAGCACAGTTTGGAGAGGCTTTAATGTAGTACAGCGGGGCATTTCTTTGAAGAATGTTTTAGACATGTAAACACAGTGATGGTTAGAAAACCTAGAACACATTTTTGTTCTCTAGTCTAGAACACCTTACATCGTAGTGAATAGACTAAAGATTTGTGATATTTTGATAGTTTGTAGAATTTCCAAACGGGATTTTTAAATACATGTGCACTAGCTAAAACAAGAAAACAGAAGTTTTTCATCCTGGGGGGTTGTGAGACCCACAGTGTGTTGGGAACCGGTCCAGCTATGGCTCTGGACAGGCCAGTGGACCACAGCAGGATGAGGGGATGGCATTACACTGAGTCTTACAGCCTGTGTTGGATGACAAATTCTGAGGAGCACATCTCTCTGAGACATGTAATTAGACTAGTTTATTATTTTTAGCCGGATTGCGGATGTCAGCCCCGCGCAGCGGAACCGAGTGTGACCTGCCAGCTGTCTAACGGGCAGGAAAAAAATCTATCAATCTCTCCACTTCTCTTTCTTCAAGCGGTCGTCGTCGGTTTCAGATCCCCGGCCGCAGACGCACCGGCTGGCCAACGCGCCTCTGACAGGAAGAGAACCCAACAGATCCAACAGAGTGATTCAAAGTCAAATCCAATAAAATCATGTCAGCCGGTGGTAAGAAGTGAATATCTCTCCTGGATCTCAGATAGTGGGGAATCTACTCGTGACATTTTGCACTGCTGCACTGACACGGGTCAGAGCGAGAAACAACAATAATGACTCCGATGATAAAGCTGATGTAAAGTAAGTAACGCAGAATGCTCCATTATACGGCCACAAAGATATGCTCACCCTCGGAGACAGAGAGCCTAACTCGCACCCGCTCCCAGGGCTACGCTCATCACTCTCCCGGGGACCACGGAGAGGGACAGGGATGCCGTTGTGGGCCTCTTTCTCCCTCTGTTTCCATGAGTATGATAAATATGGCAATTCTGTTTAGTCGCCATCTATAGAAAACATATCAGCCCGGGGATCATTTTCTTAATGTCTTCACTATTAGGTCTGGCCTCCCTTTGGCAGTATTAACATGCCGACTGATATGCTCTGTTTGTGTGTGTGTGTGTGTGTGTGTGTGGGGGAGCTCGTGTTTGTGAGTCCTCGGGGCTGCAGGTACAATTCTATTAGGCCAGGCCTGTTTGTTTATTTCCTGTCTGTCTCCCCCCTGCGTGTGTCTCCTGCTGGCTCCGACCTCGGCCCCCGCCCGGCGTGTGCATTCCTGTTTGTTAACAGGAGGGCCAGCGACAGTCAACCCCGCCGTCAAAATCCAGGGTTTGTTTTTGTCATTTCTTGCTGTTGTAAATCGATAACTCTTTGAGGTAGAGGTGGAGTACAGGGGGAAGCCATGGTTCAGTTATGGTTCATCTACTCCAAGGGAGTTATTATGGAAAAGCAGAGGGGTGGGGTGTGTGAGGAGCCCCGTACAGCTCTTCTCCCTTTCTCTTACTTCTCCTATGTGGCTCTGCATTTGTGTCTTTGATCATCTTAATCCCTGCCTAGCGTCCCCCCCCCCCGCCCCGACCCTCCACCATCCACCCCCCCGGTCTCTCCGCCATAGACTCACTGCCACACACACCTCAGTGCGTGACAGAAATTGACAGCCCACTCTATCCTGGAACAGCCCACCCCCCCCCTTTCCAAAAAGGCATGCATTCTTCATTTCTCCATTGAGAAGCTTACCCCAAGCCCCAGTAAAAGGCTAAAATAAAAACATTAGGCAGGCATGCATTCCCATTGTAAGTCTGCAGCACTTCATTAAGGAGGAGCTGTGATTGAAAAGGGATCTGATTAGCCGCTCGTGGAGAGATAGCAATGTTTCAACCTCAAAACCAGAAACCAGTGCAAGTGCTTTTAATTAGGCACGCAAAGCAAAGAAACAGCACTTCAAAACCTGAAAAAAAGTGAAAGCTGAAAAGGACATAAATGATGAGGCAAACAGTGGATCGGTGGGAGGTTGAATTCCCTGTGTCCTTACAATAGTTTTTTTCTTTTAACATCATGCATATCATGGAAGAGAAATATGAACGCGAATAAAGTAAAAAAAAAAAGCTTTTAAAACATTTTCAAAATACTTTATTAGTCTACATTTACAATATCCACAATGATATTCACAACCATAGAGTAGGAAAATGTTATGCCTTGAAATCACACTCTCAAATGAA